CCGCGCCCTGCCGCTCCCCTTCCATCAGTTAGAGGGAGGAGAGCCTCTCCCTCAGTAAAGGTAAATGTTCATTCAGACGTAGGGGAAGGAGCCCAGGAATCTCCTGGCACGCACTGCACAGGCTGTTATTAGGTTAAGCCATAATTAAGTCCCCATCCCTCTCTCTTGTATGTGCACGTCGCACAGATGCATACACAGGCACACGCTGTCTCGGTGTAAAAAAAAGCAGGGCTGAGAGAGGGTTAATGAGCATGTGCATCTCTGACAGTCTGACAGAGACCTGCACAGGAGCTCGCACGTGCCCGGCAAGCTGGGACAGGATTTATTCGGGAGGGCTCAGGCCTGGAGCCTGCTCACTCACAGCACCAGCAGCTCCCGGCTCCTTCCAAACCAACCCTGGCTATGGTGAGGATGATATTTTTTTTCAAATCCTGTTCATGTGCCAGCCCATTTATTTTCATCACTTGCTTGGGACAGGTGTGGGATTAAGCACAGTGATAATCTACATGAGGCGCCTTTTTCAACTGCCCAACAGATAGACATCAATTCCTCTTTAATCATGATAAAAAGAGCACAAACCTCTACTGCACAGGACTTCAGTTGTGCCTCAGAAAAACAGCCGAGTGTGTTTTACATCTGCAGCTTTATTCTCGTATGAAAGGTTAAAGGCAAAACTAGAAAAATGAACCTATTGGTACACGCTCACTGAACGCTTTTAAGACAAGATACGGCAGTAAAGCTTTTATTGCTAAGAACCACCAATGGAAGGCTTTAAAGCTCATCTAGCATTCAATTTTTGTTCATAAGTAACCCAATTTAAAGCAGCTCTCTCAGTCTTTAAAACCCTCTCGCCTTCCTGGAATGCTTCAAAAGGAAGATGACCTGAGGACAGTGTCTGCTCTCTGAAGGGACCAGACGGATGCTCTGTGTGAGGTGCAGAAATGGGCCACTGCCGAATGCCAGCTGTGGACTCCTGCTGATCGTTAGACAAGGCAGGGCTGCACAGCACCCACAGAGCCAGCACCCTGCAATGTGCAAAAGCAGCCGTTGCCTGATGGCCCCTGGGCTGTCCCTGCAGCTGTGACTGTGAATGTCCTGCTCCGACTACTGGCTGCGCTTCCTCCTGGAGCAGCAAGGCCACAGGCAGTGGGATACTGAAGTCTTGGGATCCCTAGGGATCCCCCTGGGATGCAACAGATGAGGGCTGGCCACCCTTCCCGAGGGACTGCTGGTGCAGCCGCTCTGGCTCTGCAGGGCTTGCTGCTGTCAGAGCTGCTCCCAGGTGTGGCGGCTGCTCTAGTCTTCAGGGATCGGGGTGTTGCAGTTCCCGTGGTAAATTTTGACCTCACCCTCACACTGGAAGTACTGGTCAAACACGTCGCTGTAGCCATGGTCCCTCCACCACGTGCAAAGCTGCCGGTTCCACGTGCAGTCGAGAACGTGGAAGAGCTCTGGGTGCTCCATCCCCACCATGGTGAAGAAATCCTGGTCCCCGAGGTGGCCCTTGAAGTGGTACTTCTCTGTCAGTTTCTGCACCATGGTGGGCTCCAGCAGCTGGTTGTAGAGCTTGGACTGCCTCATGGCTTCCAGGTTCAGGAGCAGGACGCCACTGTTGAAGCCAGGCAGCCCATCAGGAGGGGGGTCTCCCACTTTGGTTTGGGGGTTCTCGCGGCGATACTGCCAGAACGTGTGCCTGGGAAGAGAGGAAAATCAGGGCAGTCAGCGAGTGCAGCCTGAAGAGCAGCCACCTCGAGTCTGGGCAGGTCTGGAGCACAGCACAGGATCTGTCACCCACCCAAGGGATCTCACAGGGTTTGTCTGCTGCTGTCTGGAGGCACCCAGCCTCCCAGAGCAGCTCAGCACTTCACAGGCTGTGGCTCCCTCCATCCCCCTGCACAGGATATTGCCCAGACCTCAAACCACTCTTCTTGCTCTCTCCTAAAGCCCCTTTTGTTTCTACCAGCGTCGCTCTGGTGAGCCAACAGGACAGAGGATCGTGTGACTGCTCACACAGCTGTGTCGGGAGACAAAACCACATCCCCAGTGCCTAGGGCGAACCACCAGAAGCATCCCCATGGCTGGTACATGCCAGGAAAACGTCCTGCGGTTAATGGGATCTCAGGAGCAGAGCTCGCAGCATCTTTATTATTATTATTTGATATTGGGGAAGCTCCAGATCAAAGATGGGCACCAGTTTGAGGCTGAGCAAAAAGAAGGCTTGAAATAAATGCCAGTGGCAGAAATATTTCTTCAAAATAAAATTAAAAAAAGAAATCCAATGGCAACATCTCATTAGCTAAACAAGCACTGCCTGCAGCATTCGCAGCCTAGGAAGGCTCAGCTGTAGCAGCTCTGCCAGACACAATCTTCACCAGCTAATTGCCGGCCACCAAGGAGAAGAGAGGAGTGCAAGTCTAGCAATACACACAACTAACTCCAGAGGGTGATTCAAAAGGGAAAAGTTTAGACTACCTAAGCGAGCAGCCCAAAAACGTCTTTGGCTCCTTCCTCAGCCCTGGGGCGGTGAGCACACCCCACCATACATGCACTGGCTGCTCCCACTTACAGGAATTGAATTCATCCCCATGCTATTGCCCAAGCAGCTGGGGTTGAATCTGCTCCGAAAAATCACTCCCATACAGATTCAAAGTCTTCTGTCCCCAGACAGCATCCTCTGATGCAAAGCCGGGCAGCTGAGAGCTGTCTGGGCTTGCAGTTTGGAGAAGGGCAAAAGGGACCCGCAGCCCCCACCCCACCGTCAGACAGCCCAGGGCTGTCAGCATGGCACCCTGCTTCCAGCTCTAACATGTCAGACAAAGCTACAGCAGGTTTTTTAGCACCTGGCTGTGAAGATGTCAGAGAGAAACACAGTTAGAAAGAATAAGCCAAGCCTACTGCTGGTTCCTCTCTGAATCTGTCAGACACCGACCAAGGTCTCCATGCACCTGCAGGAAACAATAATTTGTTGGTAGATGGCATGGATTTAGCACCCGAAGGTTTAAAGCAGCCCCATGCTTGGAAGCTGACACTGGGCTAATTCACACGTAAGAAGGCGCAGGGACACTAGCCCCTGGAACAGCTCCAGAGTCACAGTGGGTACTCCCCCACTGCAAATATTTACATTGAAATTTTTCTTGTAAGAAGCTGTGTTCAGCTCTAACATGCGCTTGCTCAGGGAATCCTATGGCTTGTACAGAGATCAAACTATTGAATCCATCTGTCTGGCCTGTCCTCTGGATCCCCAGCCCAGCACTGTGAGACTGGCTAAGGCCAGGATTCAACAGCCACCAGCAGAATTGTCCCAGCAGAAGATGCCAATCTACTAATGATGTCAACTGTAAGCACCTTTTTTATTTCCTGATGCAGAGAACCACGACCATCAAGCAGCATCACTTCCTTACAACTTCAGATTCAAACCACTGATATTTCTCATTTCATTAAGGGTCTTTACACGGCTCCCTTTCGCCTGACTGAGGATGGAAAGGGTTTTTCCAAGAACCATTTTCCCATGGAAGGAAGGCTCAGTTCTCCAGTAGCCGCCTCCACGCCTCCCAGGGAAGGGGAGCAGAGGACTGTCTGCCTCCTCGGAGCCTGCGGGCAGCAGCGCTCGTTTGATCTAAAGGGCAGGAAAGGGATAAAAGAGCTCTGTCCCTGCAAAGAACAGTTATGTCTTGGGGACAGGCACCAGGCCACTGCAAAGACGACTCATGGATGCTCATGGGAAAAGGAAGGCACAGTGCCCTCGACGTGGCATTAGAGGGAAGATTGACCTGCAAAGACAAGAGCCAGTCTTGCACCGATAAGCCTCCCGAGGTGCGCAGGTCCAGGGGTCTGAGCAGAGACCGGCTCAAGCCCACCTCTGCACCCTCTGCTCTCTCTGCTCCTCCCTAGCAGTGCCAGCAAATCAATCCCCGTGCCCAAAAAATGACGCCGGAAGCTGGCAGGAGGTGAGAGGGAGCAGTGCCACGGAGGGAGGCACCTTTCCAGCTCCACAGCAGTGGAGCTGATCCTTTTCATGTTCTTACCTCCAAACACATGCTGCCCAAGCTAAAGGATGAGATTACCGCCCCTGCAAGCAGCTAAAATAGTAAAAATGCAAGTGCCCAAGCCCTCAGCATCGCCAGGCCGTGGCGGGGTGTCATGGGTTAAGCACAGACTGCTTAACAGACGCCCCTGTCATTGGGTGGGGGTGGGAATTGTGTGAGCGGGTGTGTGTGGCTTGGCCCCGAGCCAAGGGCTAACCCACCACACGGGGCAAAAGCAGATCTGTATCAAATGACTCAATTTTTGAGCAGCGCCATTCCCCAGCGGATTACTTGGTGACAGCTGATAACGAGGAGGGAGCGACATGCCCTTTTGTGCAGGGAGAGAAGATGGGCCGGCAAGCAGCAATTGTTCAGCCCTTCTTCCTAGTGCTGCCGTGACGGGGCCATCCTCCCTCAGCCACGCGTGGAGACAGCAGGGGCGAGATCCAGGATGCGACAAGCCGTGAGCGGCCCCGCAGTGCCGACAGCTCGGGAACCTGCTTGCAGCACCACACTGCAGCCCTTCCAGCGCTGGTGCGGGCCAGCCAAGGGAAAGGCATTTCAGCAGGGCTGCTGGCAGCATCTGTTCAGCCTGGATTTCACTCGGCTTCTGTCCTAACAGAGGCATGTGGCTCCCTCCTTCTGCAGGGGCCAGGACAGAGAACAGGGTGGTTGAAAGTCACCTCCACCCACCTGGAGTGGAAGGAGTGGTGTGTCTGAGAGCAGCATTTGCTTTAGAGGAGACGGGGCTGGGGAAGCACAGCAATCAGCCGAACAGCTAACCCAGCCTG